AAGTGTGGATTATTGTAACCTGGATTAAAAGTGTGGATTATTGTAACATGGATTAAAAGTGTGGATTATTGTAGTGAAGCCTTCGTCTTCAACCATAGACAGAGGCCTCATGTCAGTGACGATCATGTTCAGGATGTTTCAGTGAAGACAGCTGCTGCTGTGGTGTCCATGATGTCTGTCCATCATGAAGGATGTTGTTGTTGTTGTTGTTTTCTGGAATGAGACAGTAAATATGTTTTATAGCATAATTATTACAGCAACTCAAGAAATGCCTTGTTTTACTTACAGCGTTAGGTTCAGGCAAAAGTAGCTAAAAGAGCAATTAAACACACACACACACACACACACACACACATATAAAATACTTAATTACACACATTTGAGTAGATGTAATAAATTACTTTAATTCCTGTTTAAATGCAATTCATCCTGCCATACCTGCAGTGTCTTCAGACTTTGCCAGCAAATTAAAAGTTGAAGCTTAATCATTAAATTATTATCTTTTTGTTAGATTTATTTATAAATCACATTTAAACACTGCTTGTACCAATTAAATTAAATAAAAAGTAACACACGTTCTCTATCACCGTCATTAATCAGATAAACAAACAAACAAACAAACAGCAGCTTCATCTACCAGACAGACTGACGTTACGTTTTCTCTCTTGAAACAGAACAATGTGTTAAATTGTAGAGACTCACCTGCAACACGAGTTGGGAGTGAAACATGTTGTATCAGCTGCAGCTCGTGACTCCGACATGTTTACGTTTTATCTCCGTGGTTCTCACGTGTCGTGTCGTCACTTTTCAAAGCTGCATGCTTCTCATTTTTTATCTTGGTGAAGTTCTCCCACACTTTGGAGGACTTGGGTCAAACAGTTTTCGCTGCGTCGGTCATTTGTAAAATGTACTTATTTTCCTTTGAAAACAGCCTCTGCTTCCTCCTCGCTCTGTTCAACTCGCGCTGCAGTTTTTTTTTTTTCAAACTTTATTCAGTCAGTCAGTATTGACAATGAACTGCAGGTGAACAAAACGAAACGGCTCCGCAGCGCCGTGAAAGACGCATAATCGCGCGACACAACAAATCGATAACGAAATTCGTTGCCAACGCTTTTAATCATCGATTTTTATCGATTTTATCGATTCGTTGTTGCAGCCCTAATGCT